GGCCAAAGCGGGTGGATCACCTGAGGTCAGGAGTTCAAAACTAGCCTGACCAACATGGCAAAACCTTGTCTCTACTGAAGTACGAAAATTATCTGGGCATGGTGGCACATGCCTGTAATCCCAGCTATTTAGGAACCTGAGGCAGGAGAATCGCTTGATCCTAGGAGGCAGAGGTTGCAGTGAGCTGAGATTGTGCCATCACATTCCAGCCTGCATGACAGAGGGAGACTCTGTCTCAAAAAAACCCAAAAAATCCCCAAAAAGCTGGTTCTTAAATTATAGAGGTGAAAACTAGACTATACAATGTCTAAAATTCACCTAAAAATAATGTAAGAGGTGAGAGAAACGGGTGTGAGTACACATGAAGCAAGGCTGGTCAGGAGTTTTTTGTTTTGTTTTGTTTTAAGACAGGGTCTCTGCCGCCCATGCTGGAGAGCAATGGCATAATCATGGCTCACTGCAGCTTCGAACTCCAGGGTTCATGCAATCCTCCCACTCAGCCTCCTGAGTAGCTGGGACTACAGGCGTGTGCTACCACACCTGGCTAATTTTTTGTATGCTTGTTTTGATAGAGACAGGATCTCATAATGTTTGTTTCCCATCCTAGGCCATGAGCTGATAATTGTTGAAGCAAAAAATTGGGTAAATATCGTTTCATTATACTACTCTTTCTACATTTATTCATGTTTAAAATTTTCTGTATCACCTAAATCAAAAGATTTAGGTAGATGTGCACAAAAAAGACACCTTTTTCTCGGAGAATGTAGACGTTCTTGACCCTGCCATTCTTGCAATTAATCTCAGCACATGATTTTAACATCTGCTATCATATGAATGACTCAACTACTTGTCAAAGTAACTATAAGTTTACCACATTTAATAGCATGTATTTTTTCATTATTTACAAATATCTAAGCAAAGAGTTCCAAATGTGTTCCCTTTCTGTATTTTTAACTTTTCCACTAATGGACCAGTCTTTATATTTAAGCATGCTCATCTCTCTTTGATCTTCAAAAACAGTTTTTCTTCTTTCTCCATTTTCATGCAGCTGTTTGCATATTTTTCATTTCTTTTTCACAATAAAACTTCTTGGAAAAAAAAACCTGTCGTGACAGAGTTGTCACCTGGTATCCATTATTTTCTTCTTTAATAGAGATCTGAGCCACCAAAAATAAAACATACATTCTTGCCAATGGGGCATAGTGGAAATGGTGTGTGCACCCCTTGGTAATATCTTTCCATTGAGATAGTTCTTTCTTTGCTTGCCCCTCCTTCCTTCCTTCTGGGTGGAACGTGGAAAAAAATGATTGGAATTCCAGTAGTTGTGGTGTACAACGATATGACTTTGGCAACAGAAATAACAGATGGTGGAACAACTAGATGGAAGATTGAGTTTCCAATAACCTGGCATCCAACCATCTTGGAATATCTCCAATACTGTAATCTGGGAGATAAATAAATCCTTCAATTTTGTTTAAACTATGCCTTGTTTTTTTGTTTTTTATTTTGTAAATTATACTTACCTATAGTCAGTCTGCCTAATCTACACTTACTTACAGTCAGGTCCTCTTAATCCTAGTTAATATATGTTCAATCCACTGTATCCAAATTCTTACCTCAAGCTATTTGATATGTAGCTTTCATTGATATGTAACTTTCACACATACCATTCCACTGATACTGTCCTCTACAAGGTCACAAATGACATATCACCACACCTTCAATACAATTTGGCATTACTAATCGTTCTCTATTTTCCTAGTTTTTCTGTTTCTCTAGTTCAAACTTTTAATATTTTTTTCACCACACAGAAAATGACTTTTGTTCAGCATACTGGGGTAATAGGCAAAACTGCTTAAGGCTGGAGAAAACCAGCTTGAAGTGCCTAGGATCATCCCAGGCCCCACAACTTACGAAGGCAGAAGGAGTCAATGCTATGGTAAAAAATATAACCAATTGATAACATGTTATTGTGTTCAGTTCTGGACACTTCAGCCTCTTGTTTCTTATCTTTTTGTTTTTAATGCTTTTCCCTAAACATTCCAGAAAAGTGTGATTTTTTTTTTTTTTTTTTTTGAGACGTAGTCTCACTCTGTCTCCCTGGCTGGAGTGCAGTGGTGAAATCTCAGCTCACTGCCAACTTCTGCCTCTGGGTTCAAGCGATTCTCATGCCTCAGCCTCCTGAGTAGCTGGGATTACAGGCACTCGCCACTATGCCCAGCTAATTTCTGTGTTTTTAGTAGAAACCGAAATGGCCAGGCTGGTCTTGAACTGCTGACCTCCTGATTCACCCTCTAATCCTTTACCTGGGAGTTATTTCATCTATTCCTATGGCTTTAATTAAAATGTATATATGCTGATGACTCTCAAGTCTGGGTACACATCTCATTTCCTTTTGTGTGTGAGCATTACACAATCGAAATTCAGCTTCATATAGAGCATATTAAATTATCTTCACCCATATGTGTTCTTCTAAGGTCGTGAATGCCACCATCGCACATTCAGCTGCTCATACCAGAGCCCTCAAGAGTCATCTTTGACTCTTCTTTTCCCCTTTCCTTTACATTGTCTATCCAGTAAGTAAATATTGTACTCTGTTTAATTATTTCAGAGCAGACAAATCTGAGAAAAAAAAATCAGAGTATGATTTGTCATTAAATCAATCAACATGCAAAACAATAATTGCTTTAAATGATTCATCCTTAATGGAGAAAATATCCATTATTTATTCCCAAGGATGTAAAATTTGCCGTGGGTTTTTTTTTTTTTTTTTTTTTTTTGGTAATGTGCAAAAAAAATCTTACTTTCTTATGTATCAAGTACAGATACAGACACAGGTACAATACTCAAACAGACACACAGTATAAGTATGATACTAATCAAAGGGTAGTTCTGGGCTCAGCACTTTCTTATTCATTGTCTCTCCTAACAAATCTGTGACACAGGTATTATTATTTTCATTTCACAGATAAGAAAGTAAACTGAGAGGTTAAATAATTTAACAAATCTATTGGCTGACACTGGAATATAAGTTCTATAAATACAAAGGTCTTGTCTGAGGAGGTCATTTTTCTATTCCCAGTACCCTGGCACTGAGAGGACAGTCCAATAGTAAGGGCTGAGTGGATTAATTATTGTGAGTTAGAAATAAATGGAAAATACTAGAAGCCTATGATGTATTAGGTTTCAAATCCTGTTTTCATAATTAGTATGCTATTAGAGATATCCAGTACATGGTTTTAGACTGGAATGATGGATCTATGGGCAGATAGATGGATAGAATGAAGAGAGAGAGGTAGAAAGAAATGAGAAAAGATAAAAACGAGGTGCACAGAATCTGTTATTTTCTGCAAGTGTGCAAATTAAATTTAAAAATTATGATAAAAATAAACCAGAGAGAATAACTAAATGCAAGATACCTGATAGACATTTCATTAGCAAAAACAACGCGTTTTCTGATGTTTCTCACATGCAGTCAGCTTATGCACTTTTGAGTTTCTGAGAGTCAAACTTACCTGCCATGATGATTCCAGGACCAGCCTGGCATTATAATGTTCAGGAAAAACAGCTGGAACTTGGATAAGCAGCTATTCACTAGGACTTTTTATTAAAAGCAATAGTAGCGGAACAATAACTAACAAAAGTCCACATACAAGGGATTATCATCCTTTAAGAATATAATCGCATTCAATGCCAATTAATTGGCAGATAGCTATTAGGTGAATTTCTAAAATGACAATCCTTTTTTTCTTTTAATTTGCTTCTTAACGTAAGATATTAAATGCAGTTATATTAAAATTACTTGTCACAGATGAATCTGGACTACACCTAAGTGTCATATAATTATGACCTTCAACTATATATGGAATCCTGCCTGCAACACATTTTAACTGTATGTCTTTGAGCAAAGTCTTTAACCTCTGAGAGTCAAAATTCTCAAGAGTAAAACGAGATACCTTTCAAATCAAGGTTATACAGTAATGAGAAAATACACATAAAGCACCTAGCACAGTTCCTGGAGGCACACAGCATGGAGCTGTTCCTGCGGAGTAACGCTAAGTTAATATGTGGATTTTTTTCCTTACTCAAGAAAGAAACAGAGGCAACTTCTCTTAAACTCTAATTCAATGATTAAAATTTCTTCCTATGAACAGTGCCTCATGCTGAGATTTCAATAATAAATGTGAGAAAAGAGTAAATATGGAATGCCTTCTATTTGATTCTTAACTGGCATGATACTAGCACTATCTGAGGTCCTGGTTTATCCAAGTTACATATTTCTATATATAAAACAAAACACCTTGTCTATCATTTGGCTTTCCTTTGATAACCAAATGATAAACAAGATATGGACTCAATATCTTTTTAAAGTAAAATTCAGTGTGATAAATAATACATTTTGAATGTGTCTTTGCATTATTTATTTAAGCTGTGTCTATATTGTCTACATGGTAATTATGGATCAATATAGGAACTGAACAATTATTAAGACAGATCTGGACTATATGAGATAAAGCACTACTTGAGCTTCAAATTGAAGCTTTTGAAGACTTCATTTCTGAACCACGTAAACTAAATAAGTGTTATAGGAACATATTGGTTCATCTATGGCCAGTATAATCAGTTACTTGTCAATGCCTCAAATTCATTTTTATCTCAGGCACTAGAATAAGATGATAATTAGAAGGCTACCTGACTTAAGTTCTTCACTTCTAACATGAAAACAGAGGGTCCGGCTCAGAGTTTTTGCGAAAATTGAAATTAAGATAATTCACGTAATAGGTTTAGCACAGTACCTAGCAGGCTAAGCAAAGGCTGAAAATTTTTAGCATTTTATCTTATCATCATCACTTCTGTAGGAAATTAGATATATCACTAGTTTCTACTAACTGAACTCTGAAGCAAAAAATGCAATTCTTTACTAAATTAGAACCAATTCTATTACTACTAATGGCAAGAAATCACAAGTCCATATATACAGTAGTTTTTAAAGAGCATACCATATCCCACTGTAGAAAGACCCAAGTGTTTCATTCTATTTTTCACAAGTTCAGCAAGCTCTTGTCTTTCTGACCTCCTGTAGAGGTTCAGTCGCTGCTGGGTTATTTTTTCAGCTGTTTTACCAGAGTGTTTTGGGCCTTTCCTGCTCAGTCTTCGGGCCCACTGCATGCTTTTTCTCCGCAGCAAGGGATGGTCCGACTGGTCGCTGGATGTTGAGTTGCGGTGGTTGCCGCGGTGGTGCCCTTGTTCCTTGGAGTCTTTGGTGTCTTCCCACTCTTCTACACTGATAGATATTTGAGACTTTAAAGGAAACAGATATTGATAATTAGATACTTCAGAAATAAACATGGCCTGAAGTTGAAATAGTATTTATTTGCTAATATGTTGGCATAGTTATATTTCTACTCATGAGAGTTTTTACAGAAAGAGCAAAATCAGTCTTTGATTCTAATTTTCCATTACTAAAAATATTAAAATGTTTTGTTGAACTTACATATGAATCAGATAAAATAAATATCTGTATCCTCTAGTATAATTTTTTGTGAAAATATTTAATTTTTATGCATAACCATTTACTTATCATAGTTATTTATGGTATAACTAGCATATAGTTGTTTGAAACATGGACTTTTCTAAATCTATCACAAGTATTTTACACTCAATTTAAATAATTATAATTATTTTAGCTTTAGAGTTAATAATGTTTTTAAAGTTTTTTAAATTATTGCTCTTTCTAAAGGTAGCACTGGTATGAATTTTATAATGTGTGAATTTCTAAAATTCTTTCATATGCCCCAGAAGAAAACAAAAAAATCATTTTTTAATTCATGCATTCATTATTCACCACATAAAATGCTTTTCTGACTAAAATATTAAAACATATTTCAAGAAGTGTTCTAAGTATTCTGAGTGAAAATATGTTGTAAATATTAATGTTTCACAAATATACTGTAGAATTACAACTCAAACTTAAAACAAGTTGTTCTCCATAGGAGGGAAAAACAATGAATAAATTCACAAAGTCTATTATGACTTACTCTTTTATGACTAAATCTGATTTTTAAAGTAAGATGCTCTCCTTTGATTTTAAGCCTTTAATAAGCAAATGCTTACTGTTTGAAAATTGTTGCTTTTCATACTAGGAAGTCCTATGAAATGCAACACTAATCAAAGCAGAAAGTCTTACTTTCTAAAAACATGCACATGCAAATGAACAATTTCCTGAATACTACTGTACTTAAGAGCAGCATTCATGAATCTGTTAACTGCATTTCCCTGCTAGGGATGGAAGCTTGAACTTCAGTTATAACATGCATGTGTTGTTGGCTTTTAAAGTAATAGAATTTAAATTACCAATTTAAGTAACGTCAGGAAGTAGATCCAATAAAATCCTTTAAAAGTGAATATAAATTGTAAAGGCTCAGTCAATGCTTTACATAGAATTCCCAGTGGCAAGCTATGAAATTCTCTCACACTTAATTTCAACCAAATATTCAAATACTAATCCACATCTGTTTCAAAACAGCGCTATATCAGAAGGATATCTAAAAAATCTTCATCTCTTCATTATAAAAGAATTGAGATCAAACAGTTTTAGAAACCATATATTATCTATCAGAACTTAACTTGTAAGCATTAAAAGTTTTTAATACCATGATTTAACAATAATGGACATTTTCATAAAAGTTTTAACTCTATTCTCACCTACTTGATAATATACTGAAAATTCACTTCTGTGGAAGTAAAACACATAAACTCTTAAGTAGTATCTACAACCAACAAGAATATCAATATGCATTTAGTAGTATATATGTACTCTGTAGCAACAATGAAAATATGCTAGTTCAGTTGTATTTAGGCAGTTGTTTGCAGAGTTTAATCACAATCTTAAATGTATTTAATCATAATCTTAAATGTATCTCTCAGTTCCTCTTTCTAGTCATAAATCCCTGAGTGATAAGTTTGATTTCCTACAAATATGTGGAAGTAATAATCTTGCCAAACCAAACACTAAAAATATGTTTATCTAATATCACTTATAACTCAAGTCACAAAACCATATTATTATTTTGTAATATAAATATAAATATTTATATTCATATTATCTAACATAAATAAAGCATAGAGATTCACTTATTTCCAAGTAGGAGATGAAACACTAATTTTGTGAAAACTTTTCCTTAGCCATGGGTATAAGGCATCATGTAAAGTATACATCTACAAGACAAACTGAAATCTATGTATACATTAGTTAAGCAATATTTAATATCCTGTTCAGTATAATTTTTAATTTCCCCAAAAGAAACTATTATAGTTTATAGATAAAAATCCATAAGAATCTCAAGTTCTTTTTAAAATAATTTCATAAAATAAGTAATATTTCTTTACTAACTTCACTTTACAAAAAAAAGAAATGAGAAGAATGTGAGGATTAATTTTAGGAAATCCAAACCCAAAACACATAAATTGCTCTTTACATGTTTGGAATTTGCATTCCTTTCTCTCATTCTTCCAACAGGACCTAATAAAAAGTACATTAAGTTTATGTGTGTGATATATACACATTTCAGTTCTATTTTGAATGCTTCCTAGCTCTGTCCCTAGAATAAAACTGCACAGCCCTATAAAAAAGTGAGGATAATAATGGCCACCTTTTATTCGACAGAAAAGTGAAAATTCATATGACATTACTATATGAAGAAAACATCTGTTAACTGTAAACTTTCACATAACAATAATACCATTAATATATCCTAGTAAAAATTATCCACAATATCAATAACATTAGTAATAAACATTTATTACTCTAGTCCTTAGATACTGAAGATGTGTCTGTGTGTGTGTTTTAATAGGAGGTCCATTTATAAATATACTTTCCTGATGTCATTTCTTCTAGTTGAAACTGTCTTGTGTTTTGAACATGGCATCATAATCTAGTGGAAATAGTATACAGTGCCAGATACACAACAGTGCCTTTATAGTGGGACCTTCTCCTGAACTCAGTGTCACAGTGATAGAGTGGTTAAAAGCAAGGTTTTAGCATTAGAGACATGAGTTTAAATAACAGTTCTACCACTTACCAGTTTGCCTTCTTGGTTATGTAATCTAAGCTCTCTGATTATTTTCATTTCCTTCTCCGAAAATTTGTCATTCTACTATTATATTATTACTTTGCCTACCAAGTTTTTCTGAAGACAGAAAAGAGACCATGCATGAAAAGGCATAGTAAGATGTCTGTCTTAGCAAACACCCAATAAATATTAATATTTTATGGCTTATGATCTTGTGTAAAAGGACAGTAAAAAGAAGAAAATAAGGAATAATCATGATGTGTATGTAAAAAGGGAAGAATGGGTATGAAAAAGAGGGGGAATGATTCATTTCTCTACCATTAGACTTCTAAATAAATGAAGGTGCTAAAAATGTGTACTTGGGGGTAAAAATATCTTGGTTAAGTTTAGTAAATTTAAACAAGAGAAAAAGTTTCAAAGTGAAAGTGAATATTTTTCATTCTGCACTGTTTCTATGAATTATTTTGTACTTTTCCATGGAATAACAAGAGGACTCTGATTTTTTTGCATTTTTAGACACATAACATAATCATTAACTTGAAAAATCAAAATTTAATACTAATGTTTATGAGAATGATAAAAACATATTTGCAGATGTAAAGGAAATGCTTCTGGTAATATATGCAGAACAATAAAGAAGTGAAAAATTCATGACTATTCCAATAATTTTCAAACAAAGTTAAAATATTATCATTTTCTAAAAGTTATATCACTTCCTAAGCATTTATCATACTTAATATGATTTTTTAAAGGCTAACATTTTTCCTCACATGAATAATAATTAAAAGTGTAATAAATAAGAAAATGTTTCTTATGCCTAAAATAGCTGATTATGTTATTGTTTTCAGGAAAGTAGAAAGTGTCAGATACACTAAAAACATCACTCTTTTCCACACCCTTCACACACACACATCAAAGTGACTCGATTCAACTTTTTCCTGATTTTTTATTGAACAGTTATCCATCTCATAGCCTACTGAGCAATCTACGAAACAAAGTAGTATTTTAAAATAAATCAATTCACTCAGTAGTTTGAAAGTGAGTGTTTATAATCTGGACTTATGACTTTCTAAAGGATAGTTTTACTGAATTCATAATACTCTAAACTGTGCTATTTGATTTAGAATTGAAGTCAGAATTGTTGCAAAAGAAGAAAACAAAAGAAAATGAAATCACTAAAATGTGCTAGTTTAACATTTTATCAATGAACCTTTAATGTTTTCCATTAAATAAAGGTTAAATTATAAGAATACTTGAGAGCTCACCTAAATTTACATATATGAGTACCAAGGGTAGTGACTGAGCCTACTGAAAGCTTATTTTTATTTAAAAAAATAATCTAGAGAAAGATGTTTCACCATTTTCCAAAGCTCAATTTAATATGCAAATGTGGTCGGTGATCTAAATGCAGAGTGAGAAAATAGTTAGTTACCTGTATATTGATGTATTTTCAAATTAATTTCAGAATTACAAAGACAATTAGAGAATAAACAATCTTATAGTCTATAAAATGCTGAATTTGGAATCAAATACATTACTTACTGATTTTTCATTACTTATTTAGAAATTTAAGTATTCTCATCAGCTCAACATATGGAGACATTCATTTACCATATTCTCCCTGTCATAAATAGTTTGCCTCCATTTTTGATGGCAGACTGCTGATAGCTTTCAAGTGCCAACACCCTTCCTTTTCCTTCTGCCCCATAAGTGGGGAAGCTGGTAAATCCCAGTCTATGTGTAGGCCATCGCTCCAGCCCTCATCTATTTTTTTAATTTTAAAAAATACTTATTTATTTACTTATTTATTTTACGACAGGGTCTTGCTCTGTTGCCTAGGCTGGAGGGCCGTGGCGGGATCTCTGCTCACTGCAACCTCCACCCCCCAGCTCAAGCAATCCTCCTGCCTCTCCTGAGTAGCTGAGACCACAGGCGTGAAGTACCATGTCTGGCTGATTTTTGCATTTTTGTAGAGATGAGGTTTCGCCATGTTGCCCTGGCTGGTCTAGAAATCCTGAACTCAAGCAATCCTCCCATGGGGACCTCTCAAAGTGGTGGGATTACAGGCGTGAGCTGCCCTGTCCAGCCCAGCCCCAATCCCTAATTGTGATAAAAGCCAAGCCAGTTTCTTTTCCCAGTTCCTTCAAGCCCAAGCCATTCTTCTGACCCTGCTGGACTGTCTAGAGACAATTATGCTGCTTGAGTTTTTTCTGCCCCCTGGCAAGCTTATACTTTAACCTGTGCAACTTCACCCTGCATTTGCTGAGTCCTTCCAGGTTTCTGTTAAGAATTGAATTATCTAAATGCCTGGAAGCACCACTAATTTTTATGGAGGAATGGGAATTTGGCCATAGTGTGGTCAGGATTCAGTAGGAAATGTGACTGACACTAGGCACAGGGGAATAATTCCTACTGTGTGACCACTGGTTGTATGTCTCAACCAGGCATCAGCCCCATTCAACACTGTGTCCTAGGAAAAATACCTGTTACTTTGTGCATTACAAAGGTCCATTGGGTGGTGGCTTATACGGAAGAAGAGCAGTTACCTCATGTGGAATGCTGAGGTTCACACTCCTAAAAGGATATCGCTCATGTAGCCACCCCAAAAATGTTTCTTTTGCTGTTGCTGCCTATGCCTCCATAACAACACAGATCCTGATCCCTGAAGTTATAGAGAAAACAAACATGGGCCTCTGTGGCATACTCAAGATGTTAATTCAAACCCAACTTCAACCTATGGAACTTAAAATCTGACGAAGGAAACACTGCCATTAGGGAGACCCATAACCCAAGCAATACTTACTTGAGACTCTCTGAAAGAGAAGCCTTGTAAATATGAGCAGGATAGAAAAAAGCAGCACCAGCCCCAACAACAAAAACAAAACTGGATATAGGGGGAAGAAACAGAAAACTGGATACACAGGAGAAAACAAAAAATGTAAACTGAAGTCTATAATTTGTCCCTCTTGGAAATTCTCAATTTACTTGAAGAATATATAAAGACAGGTAAAAGGCTGGTGAATGGTCTTGTGCCTCTGTAAGTTCCAAATTAACTTTAACGTTTCCTGAGCTGCACCCATTGGCAAAACTTCAGAACCTTAATCAAAGTTGAGGATCAAATTATACTTATCATTGGAAATGCCAGTAAATGTAAACAAAGTACCCTAAATATGGGGATTGCACTAAAATAAAGGTACCTCCTCTTCTGGAGGTGATTATCACACATAAAATACAGCGCAAATAGATATACCTTATCTTAACCATCAGAATTATTTTCTGGCCTAATTTTCCATAGTCTTAACAGCCATTGTCCAAAATATCCCATAGTGGACATGGATGCTCTGATCCAATTAATAATAAATTAAAGTAAATCAAGTCAAATCTTTGACATGTCCAAGGAGTTTGACAATATAGAACCACAAGCACTTCTGTCTCCTCAATATAAATAATTAATAAGGACTACAAGAATTGGAACAATCTTTCAAGGATTGAAACCTCTCATCTAAGAACTATTTATAGTAAGGGTAATAGTCACCACTGCTTCTCCATTTAATAGCCAAACTTGGCTTGTTCTTAAACCTGGAAAAAAAAAATGGAGCCTGGTAGCAGATCATCCCAACAAAGACAAAAGCATTGTAGAAATACACAAATTCAACCTACACATACAGTCAGTTAAATGGTTCGCATCATTAGAATCAAAGTTTCGTCTCACACTCTGTTAACAGTGAATTTTCATTTATAATTTTCCAGAATTACCAAAAATATAGTCTAAAGCAATGGTTTCAACAGGCATGTGTGTATATGACTGTGTGTGTATTTGTGTGTGTGTGTGTGTGTGCGCGTGTGCGCACATGTAAGTGTAGAGCCTACGCACTATAAGGTAGGCTGGTTACCAAAATATATAGACTAAAGCAATGGTTTCATCATGCAGGTGTATATATTTGTGTGTGGGTAGGTGTGCATGTATGTGTATAGGGTAGGCCAGAGGGGCTATCACTCTATCACCATCAGCATATTATAGTTCAGAAGAAAGGACCCAACTATGAAGTTTTCAAAAGCCAATACAGCAATTCTAATGTGAGTTCAGCACCTCCCCTACCAGGTACAAAACATTTTAAACACACACACACACACACACAAACAATTCCCTTATCCTTTACAACATCTGAGAACCAATGGATAAATAAGCCTGTAGGAAGAAAATTTCTATGTTACACACAATGCTTTAATGAAAGAACTGAATAATATATGACCTGGTAAATGCAAATATTTGTATTCTTATGTAAATAATCCATCTAAAATAGTACTATGGATCTAAATATACCTTTGCGTACATTTCATGATTCCCTTTTGTAGACCTAGGGAACTTAAATCAACTTTATAATTTTGTATTCAGTTTTCATTTTGTAGACTAGCGGCCGTTTGACAGGGAGCTGTGATAAAGGCTTAATTTACTTTCTGTGGCAGTGTTAAGTAGAGGAATAATCTTTAGACAGTTTAAGACATTACGTGGACAGAAAGCCATGACTATGTAGTTGAATTAAGTCAAACAAATTAGTAAGTGTGCCAGTGAAGCTCTTACTAAGTTAACATAAGTAAATAATGCAGGTAAGAAATGCTTTACTGGGTTTGAGAATGAATGAGATTAATAAGTAGAACTAGAAAATAACAGAAAAAAAATCATAAAATGAGGTAAGAAAAATATTTAAGAGTAAAGTTTTTGTTAGAGAGAAAGTGAAACAAAATTACAGATGAGCTCAGACTCAAGTATATGTGCCTGTGAGTGTGTCTGTGTGTGCACATGTGTGAATTAGGGTGTACTGAAGGTCAGTGAACATACCTATGCTTAATATTAAAGTACTTAATCATAGGAGTACTTACTTTAAATATGTTATTTATAACTTTAAGTGAATTGACATGAACATTTTCTGAGGTGGTATCATCCACCCAAAAACAATGCACCAATGAAGAATGATGAAGTAAGATCTATATTACTCTATGTGCTTTGCCACAGAATTACTTGCCTTTAACGCTGAACAATTCACTCCACACATTTCTGCCTTTTTTCTACTTTGTGAAATGTTAAGAATATGTTTTTTCCTCAATCTGCTACATATAGCCAAAGTTATGGCACAGCTAGTAAAAGGAGAGGGCAAGATTTAAACTCAGGTCTTTGCTCATCGTGTTCCACGCCCAGTGTCAACTGGTCAGGCAAAATAATTGGTAAGTGACTTGTCCAGGAATGGGACAGGAGGTTCGAGTAGCTTAAAATCCAGCAATAAATGTTTTTACTCGAAATACTAGGCATCAGACATACACTAAAGATTCTTCTTCATTTGAGTAAAGAAAAATTACCCTTCATCTGGCTGCACTATGCAAGATAGTGAAGGGGAGAAAGTTTTGATATATTAAATCCACCAAAAGTTAATTAAATCTAAGAACAGGAATGACATTTTCATGCCAACCCTCTGAAAACTAAATTGTTTACTGATGCATTTTAAGTACTTTCCTGGGTGCATCTGAGGCCTACAAATAAATATTTGTAATTCTCGTAGGTAACAAGATGGAGAGGATCTTACAGATAAAGATTATGTATTTGCGTTTCAAGTTAGGGAATTAGAACAGCTAGGGCTACAAACACAAGTTTGCTGTCTATCAATATAGAGATAATTGTTGAAACCACAGGAAGCGGTTAAAGCCCCAAAGTGATACGTGGAAAAGAGCAAAACAACTACAAACGGCTTTTGTAAATATGTAGTTTATTTCACTTAGCACAATCTTGTCCAGTTTCATCCATGTTGTTTTCCTTCCCTCAAAAAGTCAAATTCATGGAAAAAGGGTAGGAAGTGGTTACCATCGGTCGGAGGATGGGGGAAAGATGAATGTCAAAGATAACTTTCTAAGATGAGTAAGTTCTGGAAACCTAAAGTACAGCATGGTAACTACAGTTAATAATAATTTACTACATGCTTGAAATTTGCCAAGAGAGATCTTAAGTAGTCTTACTACAACATTCTTAAGAATATTTACGTACATCTTTGTTAAGTAAAACAGCTTCTGAAATAAATTAGTCTGCAATCTATAACCTTTTATTTCCAATCAGGGCATGTGCTAAGAATAACATAAGGGTTCTCCTGCATAGTAGGTAAAGGAGGTTTACTCTAAAAAGTTGAATAGAAAAAGAAAACTGCTTTTCTAATCACTTTAAAAACCATGATAATATCTTAAAATATCTTTCATTATTAACTTTAATTAGCACAAAAATATTGAAACATAAACACTTCTTAGACTTTAATCTTTACAATGGTACATTTAGGCAACTTATTGGGGAAATATAAGTTCATTAATTTGAAGAGAAAGCATTTGTATGCATTTAAGTGTAATTGATTTATTTCATTTTAAAATCTGAATATTGAATTTGATATTTAATATTATCTTTCTTTAATAGCTCTGAATTAATATATTATACCATTTGAGGAAAGGGAAACAAACAGAAAATACTTACTTGTGATGCAATTTTTTGAGACTGACACAAGGGAAGGAAAAAGAAACACACAAAGCACAGTTTAAATAATGACTAAACAATACATACATGGAACAATCAGTAACATGGACAAAATGTGACATATACCCACATAACAAAATCCAATCTCATGTATTTCTCATAGGGCTTTTGAGCAAAATTAGGTAAAGAATACGCTCTTATTTTTAAAGATTGGCTCTTGTACACTGTGTTTTTGTTTTCTGAAAATTGTCATCCTAAGTTTGATAGAAAAAGTGGTGCTTGGGGCTGGGCGTGGTGGCTCACGCCTGTAATCCTAGTACTCTGAAAGGCCAAGGTGGGCAGATAACCTGAGGTTGGGAGTTCGAGATCAGCCTGACCAACATGGTGAAACCCGTCTCTACTAAAATTACAAAATAGCTGGGCATGGTGGCACATGCCTGTAATCCCAGCTACTTGGGAAGCTGAGGCAGGAGAATCGCTTGAACGTGGGAGACGGAGGTTGTGGTGAACCAAGAGCACAGCTTTGCACTCTAGCGTGGGCAACAAGAGCAAAACTCCATCTCAAAAAAAAAAAAAGAAAAAGAAAAAGAAAAAAAGTGGTGCTTGTAGAAGAAAATAAAATAATTAACAGTAGCATATAAAGCTACTATACTCATAACAGAATACTTGACATAATTATTGAGACACTCAACAATCATTATTGGTGTTAATATTTGTACTATTTTTTAATTTCAGATCTTACAGTAAGATTGATTTTTTTTCTACTACATATACAGGTAATTAAGTTAGTTGACAGAAATATTCTAAGCTCTCCAGTTGGCTATGGAATCTAAAATAATTCATTTGCCTAATCAATGTATAATAGCTAAGTAGGTGATATAAATAAAAATCATGTTGTCTTATTCTTCAAGTATAAAGAACAATAGTCTATTCATTTTTGAATATGTGGAAGTAACATTTTCAAGTATATTCTTTGATATACTTGAAATACAACTTGTGTATATATACTTGTATGTATATAAATTGTAATAACTCATTATCTCATATTAGAATTATAACAGTATTATCTATTATTGTAAATATAAGAAATGTACAATAAACATTTGATTGTGGGTTTCCTGAAACTATTACAGGATTCCTTACACATGGCACAATGGAATAAATGTTGTCTGAGAGAATAATAGCAAAGAATAGACAGGTAGAATTTAAAAATCATTCACTCCTAATGCTTATTAAAATAATCCTGAGATTTCATAATAGGTAAATTTGTACCTTAATAATATATTTTAAATGCTATTTCCCATTTCGATAGTAAAGTGTTAATGATTGGCAGATGGGACAATGATTATTCTATTATACATGTTTTTGGAAGCTACAAGATTTATTCACTATAAAGTGGCCAAAATTCAGGGTAGTATATTCCACAAATTTACTGCAAACACTATAAAAGATTGTACATTAATATGCTTTAAAAGATATGTTTCTAGTTTCTAGTAAAGTTTTCACTGGTTATAGGATACTTCAAACAAATGAAATTGTCAGCACACTGGAAAACTGAGGCAAACATAGGTCCACCTCTTCTTAACCAAAGGACAAATATGCTTATTAATTCAGAATTGTTCAGATGTTAGAAAGTTAATACTATGTTATAGACTATACGGTAGATAATACCCACAGTGGAACCTGGGTAGCCTTTTATTTTCAAAAATTACTGTTTCTGCAATGAAAAGTATAAATATTCACTCTAAGTGGAATAAGTAAACAGTATAAATAATCTTAAGAAAACTAAGTTTTGCCACTAAGTGATTTCAGTGAGGCTTTTTGCATTCCATGATTTTGTATTATGGATTGAGAAGGAAAATACTGATTCCTTTTGTCCACTAAGAGTACTATATGTCCCTGTCCTTCCTGTATATGTTTTTTGAACCAGGAGTATATGACGTCTGTCAAAATTCCCTGAAACAGAAACATATAGAGAGTGGTAGAAGTTCTCCTGGCATGGATGGCACATGACTAGTTATGAATGGGCAGTTCCATCCCTACTCTGCTTTCCATAGACTGGTTTCCACACAGCCATTGTGTGTACCCTCACTTTACTCTGCTTGTGTTTGTGTGACTTTTCACTAATCTACAGCCCACCAGAAAGAAATGGGATAGTATTCCAGGGCTTCTATAAGTGTTAATAATTTTGATTATCAATGTCCTTTACCAACATTTGTCTTTTTTAAAATGTCACCTAAACTTTAGACAGTGATTCTCCCACCCCCACAGCCAAAGCAGTTACCTCAGAGATATAATAAATAATAACTTCTGTTTCTCTCCTCAGAATACAGGAAGATACTGAAGACAGGCTAGAAAATGATGTGACATGAAAATCTGCATCTGCCTTTAAAAGTCTTTTTTTTTAAATTTCATGAATAAACAAGAAAGCAAAGCCTAAAATCTTTATATTAGTTTATCCTTACATAAAATATTGACATTTACAGAACAGAATAGAATTTAGCACTTAAACATGTAAATTCTATTCTTCATAGAACAGAATAGAATTTAGCACTTAAACATGTATAAAGAAATAATTAATGAATGGGTCTATTATCATTACGTTAAGCCTATACATCTATTAGTGTTTTATATTAGTTATAAATGCATGGTTTGAAGAGTCAGAAAATGTTATAGCATGTTTAGAAAAATAGCAGCTCACAGCATAATCTCTCTTTAATTTCCTCTCATAAGACCCATCTAGTTTTGCCTCTTTTAGTGGGATGTGTTGTTCTTTCTCTATTTCTATATAATATGCTTGATTATTATTTCATGTTTTTTTCAGTCTCTGCTTTTATCTATTGACTTCTCACTCTACAAGAAGAGTCATTAACAATCTTTTCTATATATTTTACTACCTTTGCCGTCATCATCTCAAACTAGTTCAGCATAATTTCTATTGGATCAAAATTCAGGATATACTATGACTCAGTGTACTTTACAGATGAGATATATAGGTGTGTGGTTAGAATTCATTGCCTGCATACATTCTTTAATTGTTGATAATGGTGTTATATTCCTAAAGTCAACAATTGCCTTATTGTATCAATTGCTTTGATATGTACTTAGATATATACAATAATCCATCCTGAACTCTTTGGAAACTGTCTAATGTTAATTGAAGACACTGAGATGCTTCAGGAAGTCTATAGATTTAATCTTCCTAAAGAAATCTCTCTGAAGCCTTCTGACCTGCTCTAGGTCTTCCTTTATGCTTGGGGGTCTTTTCATCATCATCCTGTTGATATCCTTGACTTTACTCTTGTCACCTAGTTTCCATAAAATGTCTGATTTCCTGCAGATCATGATTTCTCCCTCATTTTGGTGGGAGTAGTTTCCTCAGAAATCAGACATGGGAAGGATATTTTTGGAGAATATATATACTTGACATCTTACTTACACTGCTTTTACACAAGTTTGATAGCTTTGACTGGATAAACAATTCTAAGTTGAAAATAATAATCTTTTTTTAAAATCTTGAGAGCATTATTCCATTTTATTCTGGCTTGTGGTATTGCTGTTGAGAAAACCCAAATGGTACCTTGCATGTGATCTATCCCACCATCTTCCCCCTGAAAGATTTTAGGAGCCTCTCCTTTCCCTCAGTGTTTTGAAACTTGATGATGTGAGTCTATTTTAATTCACTGTTGTGGACACATGGTAACCTTTCCCATTTGGAAACTAACACATTACTGATTTTTCCAGAATTATTACACTAATATTTCTTCAGTTTCTATGCAATTCCTTTTTCTTGAAATCTTATGATTCAAATCTTAGAACTCCTATACTAGTTATCTAATTTGATCCTTTGTTTACTCTTTGTCCATGTTGTGAATTCTTGCTCTAGTTTATCAATAACTTCCTGAACTTTATATTATAAGCTTTTCCACTTCTGTCGGGAATTTTTAGTTGCCTTCTTCTTATTAAAGTAAAAGACTAATAAATTGACTGAAGGCTCTGGGTGAGATTCTTTTTATTGCTGCATTTCATGGTGATCTGGCTGGATTACTGAGCTTAAAGAATCTCCCACACCTGGCCCGGCGCGGTGGCTCACGCCTGTAATCCCAGCACTTTGGGAGGCCGAGGAGGGCAGATCACGACATCAGGAGATCAAGACCATCCTGGCCAACATGGTAAAACCCTGTCTCTACTAAAATACAAAAAATTAGCCGGGCATGGTGGCACGCCCCTGTAGTCCCAGCTACTTGGAAGGCTGATGCAGGGGAATCGCTTGAACCCAAGAGGCAGAGGTTGCAGTGAGCCGAGTTTGCGCCACTGCACTCCAGTCTGGCAACAGAGTTAGACTCTGTCTAAAAAATAAAAAAAAAAAAAAAGAATCTCCCACGTCTGTATTTTTAGGCTTTTCCATTTGGGTTGGTCAGTTTCCCTAGGAAAGAGTCTTCCAATTTGCTGCTGAAGTGTTAAGTGTACAGAATAACCCTTTAACTGAACTTTCAGAATTCAGTGTGATACTCCTAGCCCTTGACTGGTTCCAGGGTCCCCAGGCCATAGACCACTTCCAATGAATAAATCTTTAATATGTATTCATACGGAGAGAATGACAGCAGCAAAGCTTTCTGAACTTGAGGCAAATTGAGATCTGACAGCAACCTAAGCAAAAATACAGACTCTCCAGGAGTAGTTACTGAATGAAGTTTCTACTTCCTGAAATCTAGTGTCTTTCTTTAAATTCTATTAAGAGAACAGCTGCATTTTGAACACTAATGGTTATTTAAATTTCAAAACTTTGTTTTTAAACCATCTGATATTTGAGAGACATGGTGAACTGTTAGAGCTAATCTTATTTTATTAGATGCATTAAGCTCTTATCCTGTGTTTTTATATAATCTGAAAAAAATAATGTTTCCATCTTTAAATACAAAAAAACCTCAATGTCTTTATTGGGTTAAGATTTAATTGATGTCCCTTTCTAAATTTTTAGTTAAAGATTAATGTAAGAGATACACACTTTAAGGGTACTTTTCCATCTTGCAAAACTATGACCACAGATAGATATTACTCATCATGGCATCTAAAATCTCCAAGTTCAGGAAGCAAAGAATATACTCATCCTTTTAACAAATGACCAAGAAAAACACATCTTTTGCAAGATGAAATTTATCCTTTCATGTATCAGATTATAATTACTATATAAATAAACATATTGCTATTGTTTACCTTATTTACCAGGAAATTAATAATTGAAGTCAGGCTCAACTGTATCACTCAGAGTATGCTAGATGTTGAGTAAAATTAATTTCTCAGTTCCTATTAAAATATTTTGTTGTAAAAAGTGCTTGGTGTCTCTATTGCTTATCTTTGTTAGTTGCCTCCATTCTTTCTACAATAGGCAAAATTTAATATTTAAATAAAAATGTGTGCCAGAAGATGGATTGAATTCAGTGCAGAAAAAACAAGAGGTATCATCTTTATTTTAAACAGTGTCCTTTTATCATCCCAATGATATGTATTTTTAAATATAATCTAGACATTTGAGAATTTACAAGCATTTTAATGAGGTGATCTTTATGTTGAATAAAATGTAGTTAAGTACTCCTTGACAACAATTCAAATAGTTATCCTTTTCCTACCTGCAATGTCAACAGCACACAAAAGAGTATTTTAATAACACATGAACACTATTATAATGTATAACACTGACATGGACATGGAGTTGACCAAGGGCAGAATTTACTGCATCGCAATTCTCAAAGCCTATATGTCAGATAAAAAACATCACAATATGCCACTGTATGAAAATCTTCTTTGTACTGGCTAGGGTAAAATAAGAAATGGTTTGTATAGACTGAATATTTGTTCCCCATCAACCCACAATGCGTATGTGAAAACCTAATCCTCAGTGTGTTGGTATTTGAAGGTAGGGCTTGGGGAAGACCATTAGATCATGAGAGAGCTTTATAAAAGAGGACTCAGAAAGATCCCCTTCCCTTTCACCAGGTGAGAATTCAGTGAGAAGATGGCCATGTGTGAACCAGGAAGCAGGTACTCACCAGACACCTAACTAACTGGTGCCTTGATCTTGGATTTCCCAGCCTTCAAAACTGTGAGAATGAAATTGCTGTGGTTTACAAGTCCCAGTGCATGGTATTTTGTTACAGCGGCCTGAACAGATAATTGTGCTTAATTACCTGAGTATGAAAGCTTTGATCTTTTCTTGACCTTTAATTAAATAATACTGTTTTTAATCAAGTATCCTTAAAATTTTAGGCATTTCTAGACAAACACCTTACATATTTAGCTGTCTCGTTTGTTTTTCTAATCAATCAAAATTCCTGACTTTCTCTAGCTTTGTCTCATTCTTTTCAGTGTGAACCACAACAACCACAGGAAAAGAAAAACTCAGATTCAGCAGGAAAGATGGCAGCAAAGCTCCATTTAGCACCCCTGAAGCTACAGTGAAACCACCAAGAAGCACCTCAGAGAAACTGGAGTATATTCTGCTGGCAACTTATATAAGTGTCAAACTAAACATTTTCACAGCAACAACAAAAATATACCCCATTGTTTTTATGCTTTCTATAAAGTTCTTTTCTATACAGGGATTTGGTGATTCTTTCACAAGGTGGTTTAATCACCATATAAATTAATGAAATGCATGTGTCTGATCTGAGCCTTACAGTTGAGGTAATTTTGTATCAGACCAAAAAATTGGCTAACCAAATTTTTTAATAATTTGTAATAACTTTTAAGTATCTGAAGAAAAATATATTTTAAGAATATAAACCATACCTTACATTAAATAATTTTGTAGATATTGATAGAATGATGCATTTATCCAAAATCTTTCTTTTGGAAAAGAGTCTAACCTAAAAGGTAATATTATACTAAGGCTATAAGAACTACTTAAAACAACATGAACCACATGAAGGGACCAAATCAAAATGCAAATATGTTTTCAGCTACATAAACTTATCAGAGATTCTCCTTCCATATTAACTGGATCAAGTTTGCTATTAAATTTACTGAACTTTTCTTTGGGAAGATCTGACAGTAATCTTATACTCAAGAGTTTTCTTTTGGCTTTAGAGTGGCCATCAATCTGGAGATTGAGAAATGTGAATACTCACTAAATTTTCTTTGCTTCCTTCAAAATGCTAATATATGCAGTAGGGGCATATATTAGAAATCTAGGTTGCTTGCCTGAGAACTTTTCTTATGTGTCAGAAACTCAAGGTAATTTATAATTAATTTGCTTCCTGATAATCTTCTAGAAACAGCTAATCCTAAATCTACAAAAGTCATCTGAAACCCAACATCCATAAACTTAGAACAGCCCCTTAGCCAACAATATTTTTTGGAATATTGACACAGTTTAGTAAAAAAAACAGCTGAAAAAAATTTTGCTTCTGAGAGTTAACACAATGTATTCAGGTAGCATTCTTTTCACTCTCTATTGCAGTTTTTAGAAATCAGTTTGTAAGTTTTTGAATGATTGCATTCATCTGGTTAAACATCAAAATAGGAATATTTTGTTATTTCCAAACCTCAGATGTAGTAAGTTTCTGAGACTCGGTCCTGTAGATTCCAATGGGAACATCTCCAGTAGAAGAACACAACTTCTGATAAAGTCTGGCATAAGTTCTGATCCATAAGTCATCTTCAGTAATTTTCATCTATAATACACATACATTATTTACATAATAAATGTGTCAGAAATAGAGCGCTAGTGGTAACTTTTCACTTATTTGTTGATTTTTGTGGGTCAGAGTCTCTCTCTGTTACCCAGGCTATGGTTCACGGCCCACTGCAGCCTCAACTGACATCCCTGGCTCAAGTATTTTTCACTTCTTAAAGGCAGAAATTATTAGTGTTTACAAATCTCAAAGTTATATTTCATGCTTATCCATCTATTAAATTTATTTATTACACATCACCAAGCTTACGAAATCTAAGTACTCAATTTAGGGCAGCATGACATTATATTAGTTCGCTATCAGTAGGCAGTAGAGCACTGGTAATTGACTGGGAAAGCATATGGAAACTATTTTGCATGCAGCAGTAACTGAAGGCCGCCACTAGTATTTAATTTACAGGGTTTGCTGATGTTACCAAATCTAAAGTAAAAAAGACGCTCTAGTACCATAATGACTTGTTCCACCCACTAATAATGCCCATATTGAGAAAGATGTGTAGTAGAATAAGCACAGTGCTACCAAACAGGAAACAAAAGTTACAGCCCCTCTTTGCTTCTTGTAAATCTGAGCTGTTAGCAAATAATTTCATTCAGTACAGTTGGACAAATGTACTTATCTATAAAACAAAGGGGTTAAATAGTATGATCACCACTTTCCTGGACAGTATTACATCCTACGGCAGTCTCAAATTGCCAGTTATCAAAAAATATTCATTTGGCATTTTAAACAAAATGCTATCATGATGATTATTAATTAAAAATAATATGCTTTCCTTGAAATTTTAAAGGAATTTTAAAAACTCAGATGCAACTCTGGATTCACAATACAAAAAATAACATGACACAGAAGAATTAGCAAAGTATATGGTAGAAAGATTTCAGAGCCTTCTATCACAACAATCTTCTAGAGATTATCAACTTACAGAACAAAGAAACCCAGAACCTGGTGTAGTGTCCAGTCCCAACAGAAGTCTCGTGATAGAAATCATATAATCCTTCACAAATGACTGCAAGATAAACAAATGAACAAAATATACATGTATATTTATATATAATGTATATCAGATGTGTAGAACAGCTAGTAGTGTGAACATCCAACAACTTTAAAAAAATTATTTCTCATAACACATTATTAAGCCTCCATAAAAAAAATGTAATATATCTTGTTAGTATCCTAGAAAAATATGTACAGTTAAGCTATTCATAAGGAAACATTGGAAATAATTTTTCATCTAGAAATATCTCACTATGCTTATATTTTATGTGTGCTATTAGGAATGATAAAAACATTTTTAGTATTTTTAAAACAAAAACCCCAAATGAAATGACTATCATAAAAACTTAAAACAATCAAAACAAATTTTCAATGAAAAAATGTCAGTCTTTTTTAGAATTAAGCTCTAAGCTAGTGAAGTAAATTTCTATATTTATCATTTATTATTGTATATTCCCTTTCCACAATACTTCAGGATAAAATGGGGCCTTCTACGTCTGTCTGTATATATGTATGTACGTATTTGAGACAGGGTCTTGCTGTGTCGCCCAGGCTGGAGTGCAATGGTGTGATCTCGGCTCACTGCAGCCTCCGCCTCCCAGGTTCAAGCACATTCTCTTGCCTCAGCCTCCCAAGTAGCTGGGACCGCAGGCGTGTGCCGTGGCTCCTAAGTTTTGTATTTTAGCAGAGACAGGGTTTTCCATGTTGGTGAGGCTGGTCTAGAACTCCATCCCTCAAGTTATCCATCCACCTTGGCCACCCTAACATGCTGGGATTACTGGCATGAGCCAACACACCAGGTCTAAAATGGAGCCTTAAAAAAATTAATAAATGAATTGAATCACCGCATTTCCCTGGGATGACAGGGCATCTCTTATAACATTGGAAAGTCTGAAAGCTAGCATAGTCCTTACAAACACATAGACCATATTATTAGTAAACAGCTAAAGAGAGTGTGGCTGAAAATAATTCCCAATAGTTCAAGAACCATTGACAATAGTGGAGAGAAATTATGCTCTGGATTTTACTAATCCAAAAGTCCTCTACTGAATGTTTTTCAAACAAGCCACAAAATAGTTACGAATTAATGTCAGCAAATTTTTTAAATGAAATAGAGTATATTCAGTATGATTAAAAAAATACAGTAAATTACAGGCAGAAAGGGTGTGTTGGTAATGTTTTGTTTCGGTTATACATACATACACTTATGCACACACATGCAGGTATATATTGAATTGAAATGCAAAATAGGTTTACTGTGTTACAGTTTAAGACTAGGCCGAGCACACTCTTAATTACACCTATCTCTGCACTTTGGGAGGCCAAGGTGGGTGGATCTCCTGAGATCAGGAGTTTGAGACCAGCCTGACCAACATGGTGAAAGCTCGTCTCTACTAAAAATGCAAAAATTAGCTGGGCGTGATGGTGCACTCCTGTAATCTCAGCTATTTGGGAGCCTGAGGCAGGAGAATTGCTTGAATCTGGGATGTGGAGGTTACAGTGGGCCAAGGTCACACCACTGTCCTCCAGACAGAGTGATAGAGCAAGGCTTTGTCTCTAAAACAATATATAAAAAGACTTAAAAAATATATAGTTCTAGTACACTCTTTCTTCAGATTTCAGAAACTCATCCAATTTCCTGTATCTCTATTTATAACATAAATGTGAGGCAAAAATAAAGAGAAAGAAAAAACTGTTTTTCATTTCTACAGAATAGTTTTCTTCTATTTAACTTATACATAAGACTTCCTTACAAGATTTTATTTAAACAGTGGATACTGTGGCTAAAAATATCTTAAAACCACTGGGGCATAACAGCACCCAAGCATTTGGCTCCTATTGATATAAAATCTTCAGTTTCAACACTCTTCTTCAAATAAACCATCTCCTGCAATTTAATCTCTTTAAGAGATCAGAAGTATGTGTGTACGATAACAGTGTTTGAACTGGGAGCCCTGCCTCCTGTAGTAACCACATAATATGTCTGGAAACTTTAGGGATCATAGGGGTATTTATTCTACTTTGTTGTGTTTGCTCCAACGCTCATCTGACATAAGCAGATGGTTTCTGACATTGCTAAAGGCATACTCATGGGCAAAATTAGCTCAGAGGTCTGCAGAAAAGCTTTAACTCTCTTTGCATTAGTTTGTTCAGTCAAGCAATTATAGAAGATGGTACATAAATAAGCAAAAAGAATAGGTACAATAAAGTGCTAAAACGCTTAATTTTAGATTAATGTTATCAAATAATTTCAAGCCTTACGAATATATCTTTCTTCTTAATGGAAATATTTAGAGATTGTCTGATTACTTGAATCAGAGAAAATGAAATACTACTGCTGTTCAGTTTCTGGCAGAGACAAAAAAAGATTATATTTTGAATTAACATTGCCACAAACCTCTTAGCTATGATAAAATGAAAAAGTTAAGCTGGCATTCAGAAACAAATTCAATGATTTTTAGTCGTTGTAGTCTTTTTCGTACTTTTCTAAAATATGCAATAATTGGCAGATTCTTAAAATGTCCTTAGTTTAACAGTTTATTGACATCAATTTGGTATTTTATTTCAAACTGGGAAAAAATGTATACTACAAAGAATGCTGTTTTTATTAAGTTGGTAATTTTTTACCTGTTTTTAATCCAGTAATATGCATGGAGTAACATGCAAAATGTACTAAAATGTATTAAATGTATTAAACATTGCAGGGAACTGGCACAAAAGAATGCCTAAAATAATTTCCATAGGTTATTTTTTAAAATAATATTTTTCTTACAAAATGTTTCATAGGAGCATTTATGTTTTTCAGTATATGAAATAAAATTCTGAATAACTTCTGGAGCCAATTTTAAGTTAACAGCTGCATGGAAACACTAGATGTATTATTCATTTAAATAAAATCTAAATAAAACAGAAAACAATCATTTTAGGGAGAAAAGAAATTCTGTGTACCTGATACAGCAGAGTGTCCAACATACTGATGCTAAACACCCTCCCAGCAGCAAAAGGCAGTCGAAACATAAAGGCCAAGTTAGAACCTCTCTCTCGTTCTTTCTGTTAAGAAATTTGAGACAGAAAAACGTGTGAGCATTCCATATTTTACGCATTTCTGCCTCAGTAAGTTGTGTTGACGTATGCAAAAGAAATTCTCATTATATGGTTCTTAGCTCTCAATGTGACATTACTTCACTTATAATTATATTTTTAAAATAGCCCTCTAGTTTTCATAACCAAATTTTCTCAGTTCAAACACCCAAAAGTGAAGAAGTATTAAAATTTTTTGCACATTAAGCATATATTTACTCTGCATACAAGAAGAGACATGATTATGGAAACAAAAACCATCGAATCAAATGTGAAAAAAACACTAAAGTCACATGATGTACCATAACACTTCAAAGAAGATCTGCTTTTAAATATTCTTATGTGTGAGAACAACAAAACAGGCAGGGACGGACCTGTTTTGCTCTGAATGTTCCTGTCCCCTCAAAATTCATCATTGAATCCTAATCCCCAAGGTAATGGTATTAGGAAGTGCAGCCTTTGGGAGGCGATTAGGTCATGGAGGTGGAACTCTCATGAATGCAATTAATGGCCTTATAAAAAAGAGGAACCCTTTGCCCCTTATACCCTGTGCCATCTGTGAACTAGGAAATGGGCCCTCACCAGACACCAAATCTGCCAGCAGCTTGAATGCGGAATTCCCAGGCTTCAGACAGCGAGAAGTAAACATCTGGAGTCTGTAAGCCACCCAGTCTACTTGTTGCAGTAGACCTGACAGACTAAAACAGGCCTTTTCCATCCAGCAGTCTCTAGCTTTTGGTCATCTTCGTTTAGTTTCTCCATCTGACTGATACACTGCACCCACCATGTCGGTTTGCAGCTAATCTTCTGCATGTCACACACACACACACACACACACACACACACACACAAAATCGTTATGTATTTGTGAATACTTATGTATTGGGGGTGGTGTTATGATGTATGATGGTTTCTTTTTAAAAATTCTGTTGCCATTTTATTTCCTTCCATAAAAGAAGGTATGAGAGCAAATGTCAAATTTGTTTAAGTTTGGAAGAGTTTCTTAAGAATGTAAGTTAAGCTTCTATTTAACAAATTGTAACCTCAAAAATGCTGGTTTGACAAATTCCATTTACTGGGAAAACTAATACAGCTGAGAAAATAATACATCAAACTTCACTTGTTGAGGCAACAGAAGTAAGCTCCTGTTTCTAACGTAACACATTTGTGGGTTCTCAAGGAAGGGAAGCCTCCCATCTCACGTGTATCTGTAGTGTCTATCTAGCTAAGATGATTATCAGTGTAAGAGCGTCTTCACTCGAGGTACAGGGAGAAGGTAAGGCAAGGGATAGGAAAGTGGTTCCACATTTTTGTCTATAGATATAGACATCATAATAATATATATTAAATCATAATATACTCTCCAATTTATAAACCAAGGTGTTAAGAGTGCTTAAATTGAACAGCTCATGTGAGTGTCTTGGAGAGACTGGAATTAGCTGTTCTTATTGAGAGATAGGCAGGTTTTCCTGTGAATGTGAGGACAAATCTGGTTCTCGAGGTGTAACAAGTGTCCTGGAGAAGACAAAGCCATGATATGTTAAGCCCAAGTTAAAGGGAGTAGTCAGAATAAAATGCTGGGACCCCTGAGAACTTGATGTCATGTTCACTCTTCAAAACACACAAACATTCCTTGCTTCAAATTAAATTACCACTTCACACATTACATTTTCAAATACAGAACAGTTTTTTAAGTGATGGTGCTTATCCTGTAGGGAATAAACTCTTCCTATCTCCACACATCTCTTTGCTATCACTTTAAACAGCAACAGTAATTAAAATTAATTCCATTCTCTATTAAAGGTGCCAAACACCAATGTATTCATTTGTACATTAAATTAGTCACTTCACAAATACGTGTTAAGAACCTACTTTGTGTAGGGCATCATCCCCAGTGCTAGGAATACAGAGCTCCTATATAGAACTAATAAAATCTTATCAGTTAACAGAAGTATTATGTGTTGAATATGGGCCAGGAGCTAGTTAAACAAACAGGGATACTTTCCTTGTCTGCAAGAACTTACACTACTGTGAATGGTACCAACAGCAAAATGGGTAAAAACACTTGGGTGAATATATGTAATGATTAGGCAGCAACAGACACTTAGGAAGGGCACCTAGCTGCTTCTTTTAGTAGAAAAGCCAGAGAGCTGAATTGGAGGTGATGTCTGAGTTGGGACCTAAAACTGAGTAGATGTTAGCCAGTACATTTGGGGAAAGTGAGTGATAAGTAGAAAGCTATAAGCAGAATGCCCAGCATGTTCTAGTGGAAGTAACGAAAGCCTGAGAGACTTCAGGAACACAAGTAATCCCATAGGAATACAGCATAGAGTTTAAGTGTATGGGCTGAATGGAAAGATCTGAAGTGAGACTGAAGCAGTAACTTTGGACTAGGTCTTAAAGTACCAGGGTACTTTTTAGAATAAAGGGACACATTAAGAATTACACTGAAAAACAATGATAAAAATTGAGACTGTCTAAGAAATAACAGGACATATGGCTACCCTACTTTGAAACCATGGTATTTTGAATTTCATCTTAAGGGCAATGGGGGAAAAACTAAAGTGTTTTTTAAGAGGAGGAGTGATATGATCATGTTTTTAGGATGCTCACTTTGATGACAATATGGAAAATGGCTTGTGAATGAGGAGGTGGCATGGGAAAACTGAGAAGGATAAACTATCGTGTTAACGCAGCAATCCTAGTAAAATATGAACGTACATTCTACTGTGATCTTTGCAGAAACAGATCTTATTCAAAATACATTTAGACATTAAATTTTAAGAGGATATAATGATCGAATTTGGTAGTAAAGTAGAGAGAAGATGAGGATAGTACCCAGGTCTCTGGATAGTGAGGCAGATGATGGCACCTTCTGTAAAATACAAAGTGTGGAGAAAGATCAGATCACAAGTTGATTTGGACTTGAGTTTTGATGTCAGTGGACATGTCCACCTCCTAAAAATATGGATCATACCGGCAATACAACATACAATGGTTTGAAGTTTGGATTCTGAAAACATATACAATAGTTTGGGTCAAGTGTTTCCACTTACTAGTTTTATGACCTTTTACAAGTTACTTAAGCTCTCTGTTTCTCAGTTTTATAACTGTGAATTGGGATTCATATTGACATCTATATCCCACTGTTATTACAAAAAATAAACAAGATAAAGCCTCTAAAGTACTATATATAGGAAGCACTCAAAATGTGATTTTTTATTATCAGTTCTTTGAATATTAATATGAATATGAACTTTGTAGTTTTTTCTTCTTCCTATAACTCCACTTCCCAGGCTTTTACTGGGCCGGGCTGTTCGTATCACTGTAGCTCAATATTACCTCCCCAAAGAGGTATTTCCTTATCACCTATTCAAAACATGTCTTTCTGAAGTTACTCTTGCATATAACCTGTTATTACTTTCATAGCTTTTTAGAAATCTATAACACCTTGTTTATGTTTTTAATTTATTATCTATCTCAGCTAGATCCTATGTTCCAGGAGGGCAGAAACCATGATTTTGCTTTCTGTTACTTATATAACACCTAACACAATGCCTGGCACACAGATAGTGACATTTGGTCAAAAAAATAAATTTGTTCTACTTATGTTAGCTGCCTAGATCAGAAGACAATTTATTTCATAGTTTAATGCTTATAATGTTTGCATGTAGGAAGCAAGAAACAAACGTTCGAGGTTCACTCAATACCTCTCTTTTCACTTTGGTTCTTTAACAAAGTTAGGTTTGAGGATATAAAGAATTGTAATGTTCAAGATATTACAAGTTCTTTTACTGTAGTATGTCTAGTTATTGGGTTTTACAATAAATATTTCTGCTACTGTTGCCATAAACATATGCCATGTTTTCTTTTGGTTACATTTATCATATTTCTCTTCTAGTAGAATTCTGAATTCAACTGAAGTTTTTTTTTTTTTTTTTTGAGACGGAGTTTCACTCTTGTTACCCAGGCTGGAGTGCAATGGCGGGATCTCGGCTCACCGCAACCTCCGCCTCCTGGGTTCAGGCAATTCTCCTGCCTCAGCCTCCCGAGTAGTTGGGATTACAGGCACGCGCCACCATGCCCAGCTAATTTTTTGTATTTTTAGTAGAGACGGGGTTTCACCATGTTGACCAGGATGGTCTCGATCTCTTGGCCTAGTGACCCACCCGCCTCGGCCTCCCAAAGTGCTGGGATTACAGGCTTGAGCCACCGCGCCCGGCCTCAACTGACGTTTTACTGATGATATTTTTTTCCTAACAAATACTTATATAAATATCTGAAAGAATTCCAATGACATTTAAATCATTAAAGATCTCGGACACTTTTACGTGTTTGGTCTTACCCACTTTTCCATTTGTTTTATTATCATGAACATGTGTGTTTCTTGGAAGAAGGAAATGTGTTTCTGGCAGAAATTTTGTTTCCTTTAATCTGTGTCCATAGATACCATATGGAATGAGATGATAAAATTATTGGATTTAACAGATCAGCGTGGGAGGTAAAAAAAAAAAAATCAAGAATTTTATTGGCACAAATTCCTGGTTTCTGTACCCTACTTTCTCAACTATAATTCTTTGACAATCCTTCATTCTTTCCTCTGGAACCAATCACAATGTAAGTCCTAAATCTAGTGGTTTTTATCAGCATTCATCCTACTTGGACTTTCTTACAAACTACATTCTAACTCTAGAGATCTCTCTTCTCACATCACTCTACCTCAGCGTCCAGAATACTCTTGGACCCCTTGCCCATTTTCTCTGATTTGTTTTCTTTCTAGACTCTCCTTTATGAACATCAGGATAAAGTCCTTAGCTAAACTCACCTTCCTTATGAGTTAAGCTCACTTTTTACTTTTTGTGGCTCTCTAAGCCTTATATTTCTTAAGGCTTTACATTTATATATTTAAGTGCACAACCTTAGAGTATATCTGTGAGTGTGTGTGTGTGTATTTCATCCTGTTCCTGAGC